GACTTTCTAGTGACTAGGACAAGGTCAGAAAAGCACGTGTTACTATCATGGCTGCCGAAATGGGGAGCTGGTCCCTTCAAAAGGGCTTTGGGGAGCTAGGAATATCTTTGTTGGCAGGCAGGACATATGGAGCTTTATCACTGTACCTTCAGCCATGAGCATTTATGAAACACACGCACAGGGACAGGACAGGAGGCTCTGAGCAATCTGATGGAACTTCCAGCACCAGGAGGAAATGGTGATGGCTGCAGGACTCAGAGGAAGAAGTCTTGGAAGAGATGACTCTTGACTGAAGTCACAAGCTGTAGCTGGGGTAGACAGACAGGGGAGGCAGAAGGCTGTGCCAGGATAACACAGCCTCTCCCATGCCCCAGAGTCGTTTATATCACCCTCCAGTGAAGTCCATCCAGAGGGGAAAAAAAAAGTTGTTTTTCAAAAGCATAAGGAATTGTCCAAAAACATCTGTACTTTTTTCAGATGGAAGTGATCGCTGCCAGGAAACAAGAAGTCATTCTGCTAGGACCCAGTTCCCATTTATTCCTTTGTCTTTGTTTAATTAGATTAATCCCTCAATGGTCTCCCTTGGGTCAGTGCAAATCACCCGTGGCCATAAATCCCGACATTCTAAAAACAGTATGAAAGAAAAAGCCACACAGAGCCAACTGGCAGCAGGCTCGCTTTCTCGGGACAGTTCTTCGGGAATGAGAGCTAATAACCCTTCCTGGTCCTACCACGTTCTGAATTCTCGAGTGTCCGGAGAGGAGGCAAGGGTGGCAGCCATCACTCTGAGACTAGCAGAGAGAAAGCTGAGCCATGGGGTCGCAGGTCCTAGGAGGAGTCTGGGTGCCTTCCCTCGAGGATCATGAGGACTTTTTTGTCTGTGGGTGTCAGTGATTCTCGCCTGCTGCACGCCGGTGACTTTGAGAATGTTTAGCAAACACTGATGCCAGAATCTTACCCCTGGCCAGTCTGGTTTAACGGAAAGGGTGTATCTTAGCATCCGGAGAGTATGGGTACATGTGTATGCCAGAGGTCAACCTCAGGTGTTGTTCTCCCTTTCCTCCCCTTCCCTTTCCTTCCCTCCCCTTTCCTTCCCTTCCCTTCCCTTCCCTTCCCTTCTCTTCCAAGACAGAGTCTCCATCTTCCTTTCCTTCCCTCACCCCTCCCCTCTCTCCTCCCCTCCCCTTTTCCTTCTCTTCCTGTTCCTTTTCCTTCTCTTCCTTTCCTCTCCCCCCAACCCACAGAGTCTCACTGGGACCTGGAACTTACCAGTCAGGCTAGGCTGGCCCAAGGATCTGCCCATCTCCATCTCCCCAGTGCTGGGATCACAAGTACAACGTGCCTGACTTTTTACATTCCTTGGCATTGAACTCAGGTCCTCCAGCTTGCCCAACTGGCCCGCTGCCGTCTGAGCATCTTAGAACCCCAACATCAGTGTGTTTGGAAGGGCTCCAGAAAGTTCTAGTAGGCAGTTGGGTTAAGACTCTTCTGCTTCAGTAGACAGGGCCACACAGTAATTCCTTGGACTTTGCAGAGTCCTGGCCTGACCAGGAAGAAATCAGCATTACCTTACCATCTGCTCTGTCTTTCCTTTGGCGGAAAGTCTTCTGGTGGAAAGGCTAATCACACCGTGCCTCCAGGACCTGCTGCTCCATTGATTTCAGTATTCAACTCGCTCTGTCAACCAGGCTGGCCTCACAGAGATCCCCCCTGCCTCTGCCTCACCTGTGCTAGGACTTAGCTTTGAAGAGCTACTTTGCAAAAGCTTCTTTTGTGCCAGGCGTTGGTGGCGCACGCCTTTAATCCCAGCACTTGGGAGGCAGAGGCAGGCGGATCTCTGTGAGTTTGAGCCAGTTCCAGGACAGCCAGAGCTGTTACATAGAGAAACCCTGTCTTGGACGTAGGGAGAGGAGGTGTTCTTTTGTAATAGACTAATTTTCCTCTTGTTATAATAAACACTCTTCTTAAGAATTTTGAAGCCGGGCAACTGTACGTAGATGAATATAAAATCCCTTATCCCCACCCCTTCTTGCTTTTCATGGTTAGAAGGGCTTCTAGTGACCCACAGGGGGCCAGGTGACACTTGGAGTAGAGGGAGGGGCTGCAGACGCTCTTGCTTCCCTGCAGAGATGGCTTAGGAACAGAGAGAGTCAGTGAGCTGGGACCCCATTTCCCAGCAGCAGGACTTGGTGCAGAGTGCTGGCCACCTGCAAAGGGACTGAGGGCCTAGTAAGGAAGACAGTAACTGCCTCACTGCAAGAACACATATGTTATCATGATACATGCCAGGGAGGAAGAGAACAGGAGTGTGCTGACAGCCAGCCTGCAAGGCCAAAAGCTCCAAGCACGTCAATCTCCTCATAGCAAGAGGCAAGTTTCCCACCAGTCCACAGGCACGTTGAAGCCTGGGACTCTAGGCCGCGTCACTGTTCTCATACAGAGGAAAGTTCTTGGTTGAGCTGTGCTGGAAGTCGGATGAGGTCCCCAGAGCTGAGAATATCTGTGACAGATGCTGCCAGACTCATCGCTTGAGAGCACAAAGCACGGTTTGGATAGAGTCACTGGTCTCTCCCTCAGGAGAGTTCGACTCCTCAGCCTGCTGGAGGGCCCTCAGCCATCTGGTGTCTTCGATCTTTCCTGCCCCGTCTGCCGCTTCCCAGGGAATCCCAGAGAAAATTCCAGCTGCCAAGTCTGTCTTCCGTGTTGACATGGCCCCTAAGTCTCCATTCTCCTCCTTAGACCTGAGCATTTTAATATGCGATGGTGTAGGTTTTGTTTATTTAATTATTTTATTTAAGTTTGGTTTTTCAAGATAGGGTTTCTCTGTGTAACAGTCCTGGCTGTTCTGGAACTTTCTTTGTAGACCACAGATCCACCTGCCTCTGCTTCCTGAGTGCTGGGATAAAGGTGTACGCCATTGCTGCCACCACCACCACCACCCAGCTTTGTAGTGGCATCTTGCCAGTGAACTTGTAGTAGTGGCCACACCCTTTGGGCCTGGTTTTAGGTACAGACGTGATCCCTGCTGGAGAGGAGAAGCTGGCGTGAGTTCGTTTAGGTTGTGGAGAGCATTGGAAGAGCAGAGTCTGCGTCTTCTGGAGCAGGAAGACTGTGGCGATTATTTACTCTTACCTGTGTAAGGCCTTCCCTAATAAACACCTACTTATCTTGGGTCTGGCAAACTCATTTAAACTCCTACCTACAACTGGCATCCAACGTGAGCTCGAACCCACGACCCTGAGATTAAGAGTCTCCTTCTCTACCGACTGAGCTAGCAGGGCCACTGGCAAGGCAAGATGCCACTACACGGCTCTAATATATATATATATATGTTTTTTTGAGACAGGGTTTCTCTGTATTGTTTTAGAGCCTGTCCTGGAACTCACTTGGTAGACCAGGCTGGACTCGAACTCACAGAGATCCGCCTGTCTCTGCCTCCCGAGACCTGGGATTAAAGGCGTGCGCCACCAACGCCTGGCCTGTTTTATATTTTTAAGCTCAGGCTGGAGAAATGGCTCCATGGTAAAGAATACTGGCTGCTCTTCCAGAGCGTCTGTGTTTGACTTCCAGAACCCACGTGACAGCTCACAAGGGCTGTAACCCCAGTTCCAGAGGATTTGATGCCTTTTTTTCTGGCCTCCTTGGGCACTTCATGCCATGGATATGGTTCCCAGACATACATGCAGGCAAACATCCATACCCATAAAAGTAAAAAGTGAAAAAAGTGCTCGATTTATTTAGTAGAGATAATGAGTCAGACCAGGTTTTTTTTTTTTATCTCTTCATCAATTTATCATGTTTATCTAAAAGCACAATACAAACTTCAAAGACCAAGTAGGTGACATTACTTATTTATGTGTGTGCACATGTCTGTGGAGGTCAGAGGGCACCTTTCTTGTCGTTCTTCAGGTACCATGCACCTTTTGCTTGAGGCGCTGTATATTTGGTAATATATACATTTTTTTTTCAGACAGCTCTGGCTGTCCTGGAACTCACAGACATCCTCCTGCCTCTGCCTCCCAAGAGCTGAGATTGATGGGATTAAAGGCGTATGCAACCACCACCCTGCAATAAAAGCCATTTTAACAAGGAGTAATGATGAGGCTGGGGAGGTGGCTGAGCCACTAAGAGTGTCCGGCAGAGGACCTGAGTTCAATTCCCAGCACCATGTCAGGTGCCTCACAGTGGCCTGTAATGTCAACTCCAGAGGATTGAAACCCCACTCTCTCTGTGGAAAGCTATGCATGTAGGCACATGAAAACAGGCACACATGGTTAAAAATAAAATCTACCTTTGTTTAAGTGACATAGACATTTATTTTTCTCTTAAGTGTAAATGGGAATACTTACTTGGCAGGAGAGGTACCATGACCATGAAGGTGGTTTTCCCAGGGCGAGGCTATCCGTTGCACTCTGGATGAGCAGACCCCTACGATTTCCCCCAAATGTGGGAAACTCAATTGCATAATTTGTGGTAGTGGGGGACTGCAATGGCGGTCCCTCCTAAAAAAAGTATAAATGAGAGCTTTCTGGATAACTGAGTTTTATCACACTTGCTGTAAGTGACACTTTCTAACCAAAGGAACTTCTCTTTAATGTATACAGTCCCTTTAACACTCTCTGGTTTTCTCTGATTTTAATGGCAGAATCGTGGGTAGAGCTAGTCATTTCACAGCGGCTGAGCGCTCTCCTTGCCAGGAAACAGCACCATCATGTCTGCCCCTCAGTGCCAAGGAGAGGCTGAGTCAGTGGTGGGTTGAAGGTGCCTTTAACCTTTCCATCCTCTCCATACCCCTACGCCCGTGGCAGGAGACCCACGCCCATGCACTAATTCCCACACTGCCTGTCAGTGATTAGCAGCTAGCTCAGCACTTTGTGGATATGTGGTGGTGACTAGTTGACTCAAACAAGACTGTAAATAATCACTCTTCCATCACTCCCTGAAATCTCCCTTAGCTCCTCTCGTGGCATTTGGCTTCCCCATTTTCCTCTCCTGTTACAGGGATGAATGTGTAGAGTACATGGAGAACTTTCCAGACCTCTCCTGTGGTCAGATGAGTAGAGGGAAGGTTGATGAGACCTGGGGATCCAGGTTGTGCTGGGACTTGCCATTGAGACTTAGTCAGTGACTTAGTGCTGTGAAGAGACATCATGACCACGGCAACTCCCCCCCCCCCATTTCTTTAAGACAGGGTTTATCTTTGTAGCTTTGGAGCCTGTCCTGGCACTCCATCTGTAGACCAGGCTGGCCTCGAACTCACAGAGATCTGTCTCCCAAGGGCTGGGATCAAAGAGTGTGCACCTCTTATAAAAGAAATCATCTAATTGGAGCTAGCTGGCTTACACGTGGTGCTGGAGGAGCTGAGAGTTCTATAATCTTGATTGGCAGACAACAGGAAGAGAGAGAACACTGGGACTGTCTTGAGCATTTGAAACCCCAAAGCTTACCCTCAGTGACACTCTTCCTCCAGCAAGGCCACACCTCCTAATAGTGTCACTCCCTATGGCCAAGCGTTCAGATCTGAGGGCCTATGGGGGCCATTCTTATCCAAACCACCACATCCTGTTTCCAGCAGAGTAGTGACTCTGTAGCTGTCTTGGCTGCCTTAATCTGCACGATGTCAAAGGCTGCACAAAACAAAGTCATCTCTTCTAACTGGTGAAGCTGTGTTTGCCCAAAGGCTGAGAATGCTGCTTATGGGAGCTTGTGGAAGCTCTTTCTCACAACTCGGCTCTCGTGAGCCCTCGAAATATGCTCAAAGTGGAAAATACAAAATTGATATTAATTAAAAGTATTTACTGAATTTCTATATAATTCCAACTTTGAAAACAGTTTTATGAGCAGGGCTGTGGTGGCACTTGCCTTTAATCACTGTGCTTGGGAGGTAGAGGCAGGCAGATCTCTGAGTTCGAGCCCAACCTAGTCTACAGAGTGAGTTCCAGGACAGCCAGAACTACACAGAGAAACCCTGTTTTGAAAACCACCCCCCAAAAAGAATGTTTTTAACTACACTAAAATGCACACAGTGTCAGCAGTGGCCGCTCCGTGTGGTAGGACTACAGGTGGATTTTCCTTTTATATATTTTGCCCCTCCGTTCTCTACCGATGATAACATATTAAAATGTGCGGTGTTATTTAAGGTCACTGCGGTGAGTGCTACAGAGTTGAGTTGCCGTGGGCCAGGAACACTTCACCTTCAGAGCTGTGTGCTAATGGTGTGATTTTTTGCCTCAGTCCAGGATCTGTGCGCCACAGAGGACCACGGCTGTGAGCAGCTGTGTGTGAACGTTCCGGGTTCCTTCGTCTGCCAGTGCTACAGTGGCTACACCCTCGGCCAGGATGGGAAGCGATGTGCAGGTAGGTGGGTGTCTCTCTTCAGTCCTGTGTGCCGAGGAAGGGCTCAGAAGTGTATTGGAAGGAGAGTGGCAGGATGCAACGTGTATGAGTCCCGAATAGTCCTTCAGGTTTTAATGAAATAGTCGGTTCTTCGGTCTAGTTTTCTGTTTGTTTGTTCGTTTTTTGTTTTGTTTCTCGAGACAGGGTTTCTCTGTGCTTCGGTCTAGTTTTTAGGTAGAATTTGAACATTAAAGACTTCATCTCTGCTTGAGGTCAGTATTTGCTCATCCACACAAAGCATGCTTATGTTACTCTATGTAAATGTGATGGCCTGTTACTTCACGGCTCGGGAAGGACAGTGCTGTGGAATGCTCCCTTTGTACACTGTAAAAATTTGTCAACTCAAATTGGTTTAGTAAAATACTGATTGGCTGGCAGCCAGACAAAAGAGTATAGGCAGGACAGCTAAACTGAGGACGCTGGGAGGAAGAAGGGTGGAGTCGGAGGAGACACCGGCAAATGCAGATGAAGCAAGATGTGTAGAAAATGAGGTCACAAGCCATGAACCACATGGCAAAAGCATAGATAAGAAATATGGGTTAATTTAAATGTAACAGTAGCTAGTAACAAGCCTGAGCTATTGACTGGGCATTTACAATTAATATTAAGTTTCTGAGTGACTATTTTGGAAACTGGTGGGTGGGACAGGAACTTCCACCAACAGGGCGGGGTGGATTTGGAGCATAGTTTGGGGACATAACTATATAGCTCATGAGTTATATATGAAATTTACTTGGTGATGAGCAGGGCTGTTATGTAGTCTCTTAAAGACGCTGATGGCCTTATCCTTCATTTTGGACCTGCAGTTCAGTGAAGGGCCCAACTGTCTGCATTGACAAAAAGCCTCAAACACAAGAGCCAGGGAAGAGGTTTCTAGGAGGTGCTTAAAACTGCAAGCACAGTTTCACAGTCGAACACCCTCCCGACTTGGTCACTCCACACTGAGTGATCAGGTGAGAGAAGAGTGGAGTTTTCCTTAGCCCTTGCAGAGCGGGCCAACAAACCCCTAACGTGTATGTGGCACAGAAGTAAGGGTTTAATTGAGTCCACCAGATGCAAGATAAATGGATAAATAGGTATTTATTAGGGAAGCACTCACACAGATAGGAGTAAATAATTGCTATGATCTTCCTGCTCCAGAAGATGTATCTCTGCCCCTCCGATGCTCTCTGGACCCAAGAGAGCACCAGCCAGCCCCTCCTCAACCTTAAAATGGGTCACATCTGCACCTGAAACTGCGCCCAAAGGGTGTGGCCACCACCCACCACAAGTTCACTGGCAAGGCCAGATGCCACTACACAGTGCCTTCCTGATTAGCTGTAATTCCCTCTCCTGGTCTTGTTCATCATTAGAGCAAGAAAGAGTAGGTAAATAACAGATGTTCAGTAAGCTGAACTGAAGCGAACCTAGACTCCTGACCAAATCGTGCTTTTCTGTTCTATTTCCCATTGCTTTCAGAGACCATGTTATATCCCTTGATTCCTTGTTTCCTTCCTCATATATGTTTATTCTTTTGCATGTTTTCCAGCATTCCCTGATTATTAGTTAGGGGTATGAAAGGCATGGGAAAAAAGACAAAAAAAAAAAAAGTAGTCATTTGCTATTTGCACGGGAGTAATGAGAGTATTGTGACTTTGTTTTTACCCACTGGTAGGTTTGAAAAATACCCTCATCAGGGATCAGCAAATGGGATTGGTTTATTGAGCCTTAGAGCTATTTTTGGGGGGATGGGAGGGTGTTAATTTACTGGTGGTGACCATGACAGAGTGGCAGGGTATTCTGTTGACCCATCATCAAAAAAGAAGCCAACATATAACCACCTATTCTTATTATTTGTTTCATTAATTTTTATTGTACCAATTCATATTATTTAAAGGATGAGGAAAACCGCTGTTATTAATTCATTATATTTCCACCATACTCTCCCTAGAAATGTCTGCTACAAAACATTGGTCGGTGTTGAATGAGAAGAGGTTATGCTCTTCATTTTTGTCACCTTTTCTTTTTTTTTTTTTTTTGGCCCCTTCCTGTCGTTAAATAAGTAGAAACTTTGTGAACTGAAAAATTAAAGATAAGAAAGGTGGGGAATGGGGCCCTTGTGAGGAAGGACAGGGAACAAGCATCAAGGAGTCAGGAACACAGTTCTGATTGAATGAGTTGGGGAGCTTATGGGTTCACAGGGGATAGATGAGCAAGAGGCCAGTTCATGGGAGGTTGGGAAACTAGAGGGTAGTGGGGAACCCAGTCCTCTCTGTATTACCAAATAATTGCCTAATTGTCCCAGTGTAGCAGAGAATCTTTGTGTCTCTCAGGATTCTGCTGTAAGATTGGAATTTGACATTTGCTGTAGAGCAGAAAGAATGAGTGAGAACTTGTTGTGGTTGCCAGGAGAAGAGCCGGGCTGTATTCATCCGGGATGGGCGTTTTCCCTGCCGATGCTTATAAGCGTATGAAAATGTCTTGGGCTGGAGAGATGGCCCAGCCGTTAAAGGCTAGGCTCACAACCAAAATGCCAAGAATGTCTTGCCTGTATTAGGCGGTCAAGCAGGGGAATGGTAAGCCAAGAGAAACTGTATCCTAATGTGACCCAGCTCTCATCCGTAGCATTGCCATCTTCTCAACTCTCCTTGAGGGCCATTGACCAAGCCTCTGTGGGAAGCAGATGTAAGATGAACAGGCAGATCGCTGTGGCCAGTAGTCTCAGTTAGGGAGTCAAAATTCTCAAAAGTCATGCTGTGCCGTGGGGCTGTGTTGAGAGACCAGTGAATCACAGAGCCCTGGGGGAGGACAGAGGAGAGAGACATCTGAGGAGCTAGGCTGGAAGATCTGTATACAGAAGAAAGTGGAGCCATTGGACATACAGCAAGCAAGAGCCTACGTGATGGGCAGTGGTGGCATGGGGGTGGAAGTGTTTTCAAAGGAGAGATATCGAAGCTACACAAGCAGCCTAACAAAGGCACCAGTCTCAAAGACGAAGACTCCAGGGGCTATAAAATATCACAAAACAAAGAAGTCACCTCATAATGTTTTAAGTAAGATTGTAATTTTGTGTTGGGTTGCTTCATGCCTATCCTGGGTTGGACACACCTGAAATTTCGTGACGTTGAGCTTCTCACACTCTGAGGAGGGTGCAACGGTGTCGGTGTTGGAAGAGAGACAAGAATGGACTCAAGGAAAGATAGCCTGGAGTTTTAGGCAAAGCAAGGTTTACGAGCAAAGCAAGCAATTACGAGACAAGGCAAGGATATGTCAGAGAGAGAGAGAACAGGAAATAGCCCAGGGCAGGAGAGAATGCTTCAAAAGCCAGCAATGCAGGCAGGGAGCAACATGTTTTCCCCCTTGTTCCTTTTAATGTCCATTTAGGGTTTTTTATGTGCATTATTAAACATTTAGTTTAAATGTCTATGTGCCTTTACTTGTTTTGAAGGCATCTGGACCTTCAAGCCTGACGTCCCAACTCCTAGTGAAACACGTCTTTATTTCATGTAATCTCTGAGCTTTGGTTTTCTCACCCACAGTGAAGAGCCATAACACCTACTGCTCAGATTTGAGATGATAAGTTATTGAGTACAGTTCCCAGTGTGCACTAGCCATGATAGTCACCATTTCCTGCCTATTGATGAAAAGCCCAGTGAGTAGTGGATGGAGGGCTAATCTCAGCTACATACAGAAAGCAGAAAGAACTGAGGGAAAGAAAAATGTCTATGAACAATAGTCTAAGGCTGTAGAGGGAAGTGAGAAGGAGAAGGTGCTTGTGAGGATTTGAGGATTATGATGGAGAGGGAATCTCCAGCCCGTGTTCTGTTGCTATGATAAAGTATTGTGGCAAATGTCCATCTTAGTTTTTGTTTATCTCTGAGGACAGCTGAGTGGTTTTTCACACATGGGGCAGAGCCCAGATGTGGCAAGGCTCACTTGTGACTCTGGACTTTAGCCCTCTGCCCGGATGAGGAATGACAGCCAGGAGTTACTGTCATCTTTCCATCTATGAAGGTGCACATTGAGACTCCAGGCAGAGAGGACGGAAAGGATTTTGTTGGTGTCGGTGAGGATCTGGAACAGTGGAGAGGCTGCCGACTTGGAGAGGCGCTCCATGCATCCACCCCTAACCTTGGCCTTCTTTTTCACAAATACAGTTTTGCAACTAAGGAAGTTACGTAACAGATATAAAATATTTAATGAAGGATGCCAGAACTGAGTGGACTAGACCTCCCCCTGGACCTTAAACCTCTTTGAGGGTCACATGACTGGAAATGGGTTTCTTCACATCCAACTGCTGAGTGGTGGCCTGGGCTGCCATCCCTAAGTGGCTTGACAGTGAGTCAATGATAGCATTGAAAGCTTGAGATTTTATAGACTAAGGTCTTAGGAACCTACAGTCACTGAATCCTGCCGTAATGCAGACAGTTGTGCACACTGAGAACAAAGCAGCATGAGATTCAAGGCCTGGGAGAAGCTCATCTAAGAGAGTGGCCTATGGCTGGCTCAGAGATGGAAAATTCCATTCAAAAGGGATATCCTGCACTACACATTGAGCTGGGATAGCCCACACTACACATGGATCTGGGATATCCCACACTACACATGGATCTGGGATATCCCACACTACACATGGATCTGGGATATCCCACACTACACATGGATCTGGGATATCCCACACTACACATGGAGCTGGGATATCCCACACTACACATTGAGCTGGGTGGGCATGATGGCACACCCTTGTAATCCAAGCACGCAAGAAGCATTGCTATGGGTTCCAGGCCAGCCTAGTCTACATTCTGAGACTCTATCCCTGCCTTAAACCCCAAAACAACAACTCCACCCCAAACATCTACATATATACAAATGTATCTTAATTGTTTTTGTTTAAAAATAAATGTATAATTAATAATAGTCATATTTAATAATACTTTCAAAATGTTTAATAAGCTTACTTGAAAAAATATGATATTTAAAATCTTGGTTGTATAAATAATACCTGTGACATGTTGTCTGATTTTTCAGTTTGGAGTTCTTCAAGTTGGCACAGGATTTGAAAAATTCTGAAAAATGATCTGGGGTCAGAATCCTTGTTGATGTTAATGAAAAAATGTTCCTATCTTATATTTATAACAGTATAAAATTGCTGTTCTCATAGTAATTTTGATCAGCATGTAACCTCCAGTTTCTCTAAAGCTGTTGGTTTCACTTTTATGGCATGTGTAGTATATTCTTGCTTTTTAACAGAGGCTATTAAAATTTAGCATGCCAGAATCCCCTAGGGGCTTGTTATTACAGATTCCAGGATCCCATACCCAGAATTTCCAGTTCCACTTGTCCGGGACAGGACCTGAGAACTGATATTAAGGGCAAGTTTGCAAATGATTGTTGATGTAAGCAGTTCACAGACCGCACCTTGACAACAACATATGTCTTGTAGAAACACCACATGGTCTGTGGACGAACAAAGGTGCTCAAGAGCATAGGCATTCCAGTGCAGTTGCTTTGTAAGCATGCATCAGGGTAAGATATATAAAGATAGTCTAATACGCAGGGGCTCCAGCTGCCTCTGCCAAATAAAATCCCAGAGGCCTTAGCAGAAAGGAAAGCACTGATTTATCAAGAATTGATTATGAGCTGGGGGTGGTGATGCATGATTTTAATCCCAGCAGTCAGAGAAAGAAGTCTGTCTGTCTGTCTATCTATCTGTCTGTCTATCTATCTGTCTGTCTATCTATCATCTATCTGTCTATCATCTATCTGTCTGTCTATCATCTATCTATCTATCATCTGTCTATCATCTATCTATCTGTCTATCATCTATCTATCATCTATCTGTCTATCAACTATCTATCATCTATCTATCTGTCTATCATCTATCATCTATCATCTATCTATCTGTCTATCTATCATCTATCTATCTGTCTGTCTATCTATCATCTATCTATCTATCTATCTATCTATCTATCATCTATCTATCTATCATCTATCTGTCTATCAATCTATCATCTATCTATCTATCTATCTGTCTATCATCTGTCTATCATCTATCTATCATCTGTCTATCATCTATCATCTGTCTATCATCTATCTGTCTGTCTATCATCTATCTATCATCTATCTATCTATCATCTATCTGTCTGTCTATCTATCTATCTATCTATCTATCTATCTATCTATCTATCTATCTAGTCCTATCACTTGAATGTAGCAAGAATTCTCATTTTAAAGTTCTGCTTTAGCAAAAAGGCTACAATCACTATACATATACAGTTTGGAGTGTATGCAATGAGTGTGTGTGTGGTGTGTATATGCAGTGTGTGTATGCAGTGAGTGTGTGTGCAGTGTGTGTATGCAGTGTGTATGTAGTGAGTGTGTGTATGCAGTGTGTGCAGTGTGTATGGAGTGAGTGTATATATGCAGTGTGTATATGCAGTGTGTGCAATGAATGTGTATATGCAGTGTGTGTGTAGAGTGTGTGTGCAGTGAGTGTGTATGAAGTGAGTATGTGTATGCAGTGTGTGCAATGTGTGTGTGCACAGTGAGTGTGTGCAGTGTGTATGCAGTGAGTGTGCATATCAGTATGTATATGCAGTGAGTGTGTATATGCAGTGTATATGTGTGTATGCAGTGTGTGTATATACAGTGAGTGTATGCAGTGTGAGTGTATGCAGTGTGTGTATGCAGTGAGTGTGTATGCAGTGTCTGGTGTGCAGTATGTGTATGCAGTGTGTGTGTGTGCAGCGTATGTGTGTGCAGTGAGTGTGTGTATGAAGTGTGTGTATGCAGTGAGTGTGTTATGCAGTTTGCACTGTATGTGTATGCAATGTGTGTGGGCAGTGAGTGTGTGTGCAGTGTGTGTATGCAGTGAGTGTATATGAAGTGTGTGTGTATGCAGTATGTGTGCAGTGAGTGTGTATATGCAGTGTGTGCAGTGTGTATGCAGTGAGTGTATGCAGTGTGTGTGTGTGTGTGTGTGTGTGTGTGTGTGTGTGTGTGTGTGTGTGCACACACCCATGCTGCAGCAGTCATGTGCAGCATTCTCATCTTCCCTTCTGTGAAGCATGCTCTCTGCAGACTCCAGGCTAGGTGGCCTCTGAGCTTCCTGCCATAGCAGTGCTGGGTTGTGTAGGCAATTTCCCACTATAGGGTTGCAGGTGTGATCCAGCTTATCCACATTTCTTTCTATGCAGGCTCCAGGGAGTGAACTCAGAGCTTTATGCACGGCTGTGTCTTTGCTACTGAGCAATGTTCCTGCCGTCTTCATCAGCCATTCTGGTTAGGGCTGACCACGATGTCTTCATGTTAGCGTCCTTGCCTCTGTAAAGGTTGTTTCCACAGAAAGTCATGGACACCAGTTCTGAGGTCAATGGGACTTTACGTCCTTGAAGGCCACATGTCTCTTTTGACCACACCACTCTCGTCTCTCCCTCTCCCCCTGCTCTGCACTGGCCCTTTGGCTGGTCCTGCGGCACCTACGTTCCTACCTCCTGGCCCCGTACTTACCCTTTTCACCCGGGATGCTCGCTCCTGGGTGTCCTTGCGGCTGGGACCTCACTCAGGACTACCAGTCACCTATTTGGAGAAACTTTTGTGACCACCTCCATCAACCCCAGCGTCCTTCCCTTGGTTTCCTCCAGAACATTTTCCATCTTCTAATGGGTTGTGTTGTTTGATGACTTCTGTCTGTTACCACACTCACCTCCACCACCACCACCAACTCCACTGCTCTCACAAAACCATCTCCACCACCAGTGTTAACTCCTGGACGCTGGGTGGGTCTCATTTGTTATTTACTCTGTCCTTAGCATCTAAAACAAGACCTAGTTCATAGTAAATACACAGTGAATATTTATGGAACCGATGAGGATTTATGTGACACTTTGTACTGTCTTACTGCTTTGGGTTCTTATGTGTTTGTTGTTTGTTATGGTGTTGGTCTTAGAGCCTCTTGAATATGAGACCAGTGCACCATCATTGAGCTGTACCCGTAGCTGCTGTTGGGTTTCACCTCACCTCTGTTTTCCCCAGTTTAGGAGGTTTGTAGGTGCCTTGTGGTAACTGGAGTTTTCTTTCCCGCCAGGTCCCGCTGCTGCTTTAGCCCCCCCATAAACACACAAAGACTTATATTGATTATAAAACTGTTGGCTGATGGCTTCTTATTGGTTGTATTAATTATTAACCCATTTCTATAAATCTGTATTTCCACGTGGTCTTGGCTTACCAGAGAATGCCTGGACCTGTTACTCCTTTGCTGGTTACACGGCGTCCTTTCTCCATCTCTTGCTGCCTACCTTTCCCAGAATTCTCCTCATCTCCTAGCCCCACCTGTCTTCCTGCCTCTATTGGCCAAACAGTGTTTTATTCATCAGCCAATAAGAGAAACATATACAGAAGGACACCCCCCAACACCTTGTGATAATTTTTATTTGCATTTCTCTGACTTTTAAATATAATCATATCTATATATTCTTTATTTTCTGGAATGAACACCTAACTATTAAAAAAAAAACTTGAGGGGGATCTTGGGGTGATGTTTATTTATCCATGCCCTTTGCTGGGGATGGCAATATTAACGCATTGTATTTGTTATAGGTATTCTGACATTCTATTGTCTCCCCTTCTCTGAACTTCTAATATGTAAATTATATTGTTTTCTGCAGCTGTGGACTTCTGTGCCTCGGAAAATCATGGCTGTGAACATGCGTGTGTAAATGCTGAAGGTTCCTACCTGTGCCAGTGCCGTGAGGGATTTGCTCTTAACCCAGATAAGAAAACATGCACAAGTAAGTTACACACACACACACAGAGTGCAATTGCTGTGGGCACTGTGGACATAGAACTCTCCCAAGTATAGACTATCACATGTTAAGTCATGGGGTTCTGCCCTTATTCTTCCTCCGTTGGGCTTTTCTAAATCGTCCTAAGACTGTGGCTTACTTGGTCTCAATGTCCCCAGTCGAAATATCTGAAGGCATCTTTTGTTGGAGGCTCCATGCAGGCATGCTCTTCCTGCATGTGCTTAGCAGGCTCAATCAAACCCATATCCGCCCCCCATGCTGCCCCAGCGTGGCTGCGGCTCTCATTATAACAGAGCCTGGAGCGTATGTTCACCGAAGCTTTGTGGCTTTTTGGTAAGCTTTGTGGCTTGTGGGCTCCAGCTCTGACTCCACATGATGACCAGAGAGAAATCGCTGAGCCAAAAGGAACTTAATGTGGTTTCTTGAGGGTGGGGTGCGGAGAAGTGAACTCCCCAAGTTTTCTTTAGTCTGTTTAGTTCCGTTTGATTTTAGCTATATGTGTAAGTATTGAAATTAATTTAAATTCCTAAAATTAGAACAGAATGTAAGCTCAGGCTTCCAGGATCTCTTCCCAGGACCAAGATCACCCCAATCACCATGCGGAGTCGAAAGCTTGATGCAAACTGCATGAGGCTTTATTGTTGTTTAACAAGCTAACCCCATGTTAGCTCGGGTCTTTCACCCACCCGCCATGGCGGATGGCTAGAAAAGACAGTTCGAACTGGCTGCATAGAGATCTTGTAGGGCAGCTTAAGGGAGGTGTCTAGGGGTACGCACAGGCTCAGGATTGGTGTGCCTCCAGGCTTGGAGGGCTTGCCCTGTGTTGATTGGTCAACTGGTTGTTATGGCCCATAGGCCCTCCCAGGGTGGTTGCTATGCACTGCTCATCATGGCTGTGCACTTGTCCGTAAAGCACACCCAGAGCCATAAAGCATAGCGCCACCAGCTAACTTCTGATTGGTTCCTTGCCACGAGGCAGGCATCTGACTTTCTAGTGACTAGGACAAAGTCAGACAAGCACGTGTTCAGCTGTTACGGCTGCCGAAAGGGGGAGCTGGTCCCTTCAAGAACACCTATAAAGTAAAGACGAGCACCAGTTTTATAAAAAGATGCCAGGAATGTTATTTTAAATATAAAGGTGCAAGGGAACACTTTAGGGCTTCTGTGGGAGATTATTATCCTTGGATACAGTGGACAGGTCACTTGAGAGATGCCTGCTTCTGAAGTATTAGGGTCCAGGGATATTTTAATGATCAGAATAAAATAAGGGTCGGGCGGCAGACATACCTTTAATCCCAGCACTGTGGAGGCAGAGGCAGGCAGATCTCTGTGAGTTCAAGGCCAGCCTGGTCTACAAAGCAAGTTCAAGAACAGCAAGAGCTATTATATAGGGAAACTCTATCTCGAAAAACCAAAATCAAAAAAGAAGAAGAAGAAGAAGAAGAAGAAGAAGAAGAAGAAGAAGAAGAAGAAGAAGAAGAAGAAGAAGAGGAGGATAAAATAAGGCATTGCTGCAATGTACATCAATGAGAAAATAGAATTTTGTTTTGTTTTGTTTTTCAAGACAGGGTTTCTCTGTGGCTTTGGAGCCTGTCCTAGAACTTGCTCTTGTAGACCAGGCTGGTCTCAAACTGACAGAGATCCGCCTGTCTCTGCCTTCCAACTGCTGGGATTAAAGGTGTGCACCACCACCGCCCAGAGGGAAAATAGAATTTTTGATTGATAAGGAGTTTTGTACCTTCCACCTTCCAAAAGTACATCCAGTGTATATTCCTGTGCATGTTTTCAAAAGCCTCCCTCCGGTTTCCTTTACTTCAGTCCCTTAACATCAGTAGCTTAAAACTCCAGAGGCAGGGGCATGCTACATCCAAAATGCGTTACTGGAGCCCCAGCCATCAGCCATTAGAAAAGGAGGCAAAGTCCTTGGATGCGGACAGACCTTGGCTGGATTTTAAAGTGAGCCGTCATTCACCACATGCAGCAGGGGAGACGGGAATGCTAAAAGAAGGAAACAGTGTTACACAGAACCAGAAGGTTGTTTAAGCTTCCATGCCCAGTACATAGCTAAATGTACAGTTCTTTACTGATGCTAAAAGAAGGAAACAGTGTTACAATAGGACCAGAAGGTTGTTTAGACCCCCAGGCCCAGTACATTGCTAAACGCACAGTTCTTTTTTTCCTCCTGGGGGGAATGCGTGGTTGAGTAGGAGCAGTTCTCAGCAAGATGCTGTCCACCTATTCCCACCCCACACCCAAAAGACCACACTGAACTATAAACAAGCGTCAGGCTGTCACTGTGGCCTGGAGCTGTGGCTGGCGGGCATCCCCATCAAAGCTGGACCCTGTGCTCGTGGTCAGCGTCTCTGCCTTTTCTCTGGGTGATCTTGGGCAAACCTCCTGGACTGCAGCAGGAGGTGACAGTCACCTGCTGATAATTCACACTGTTGTCTTGAAGACTAAATGAGATCCTTTGTAGAAATGATTGGTCAGATTGCCAGGCGCTAATTAAGGTTTTGTGTTTTATTTGTTTGGTTTTTCCAGACAGGGTTTCTCTGTGTAGCCCTGGCTGATCTGGCACTCGCTCTGTAGACCAGGCTGGCCTCCAACTCACAGAGATCCGCCTGCCTCTGCCTCCCGAATGCCGGGATTAAAGGCGTGCGCCACTGCCACCCACAGATAATTAAAATTTTATGAAAGATGATACTGGGATCTGAGGAGGTTACTCCGTTGGTAAAATGGCTGCCGTGCCAGCAAGGATGCTCAAATCTCTGGTACCCCTGTGGAAAAGGGCCCACCCCGAGGCTCACCTGCCAACCAGTGAATGGGTGAACTCCAGGTTCGGAGGGAGAGACCCGGCCTCAAAAGAATCAGATGGAGAGCAACTGAAGAAGATACACAGTGTTGATCTCTGACCGCCACACACACGGACATTCATATGCACCTGTACACACGTACACACGTGAACACACACACACTAACACACAGATAATACTGGACTCAAAGAATTTCAGCATTAAGGGGCGTGTGCCGTCTGTCTTTACTAAACACAGAGGTACACACAAACTCAAGACATCTGTTGGAAGTTGGTGGGAATACAAGTCCCACCACACAGAGCAGCTGAGTCACCACCCAGGACGAATGTAACCCAGGGCCTACGGTGCGATGCAGGCAAGCCGGACTAGGGCAGATGAAAGCATTGTCTCCTCTCAGAACTTCCTCCCTGGAGGAGTCCTGACTCTCGCTCCCACCCCGATCTCCAGAATGGCACCATCTCCCCCACTGCCTCAGCATGAACTAGATTCTTTTCCAAACCCCAGAGTGGTACAGACGAGAAGGTCTGAGGTGGGAACTAGGAGAGGTCTGGCCGGGAGTCAGGGCAGGGCTTCTTCCAGCTGGGAGGTCTCACCAGCCAGGCTGGGGGCCAGCAGCTCAGCTCTCTTCAGGCCATGTCAGAGGCAAGAGCGTGAAGCCGGCCAGCCCTGTGCGTGGGCAGACAGGAATGCTGGGAAAGTTGTGGGGTCCAGGCCAGCAGCACTAGGGTGAGTGCCCCCTAGAAAGGCCGCCATCCCATCATCCTGAGGAGTGAACAGGAGCCGAAGGGAGAAGCCAGATAACAGAGAATAGAGGAGCCAGGTACTTTGAAAATGATGAGGGAAGT